GATGGATGGATGGATGGATGGATGGATGGATGGATGGATGGATGGATGGATGGATGGATGGATGGATGGATAGGCGGATGGATGGATGGATGGAAGGATGGATGGATGGACGGATGGATGGATGGATGGATGGATGGATGGATGGATGGATGGATGGATGGATGGATGGACGGGTGGATAGGTGAATGAATGGATGGATGGATGGATAGATAGATTGATGGATGGGTGGAAGGACCGACGGGTGGATGGATGGATTAATGGATAGATGGATGGATGGATGGATGGATGGAAAGACATTCATTAAACCTAATATAAAGATCATGTAATTTTAAGAATCTCCCCATCAGTCACTGAAAAACATAAATCTAGAAACCATAGAACTGTAGTGAGATTGGCCATTTGCCCTTTATTTCTGCGCCCATTGAGCACAATCTTCGCAGCACTGTTCTTTTTTTATTATTATTATTTGAAAATAAAAGGCGGTGATCATAGCATTGCAGAGTCTATCCTAGGATATTACCATTCAAGTCTATGATCAGGACATATTTTGCTATCCTAGAATTACATAGCTCTATCTGGTCAGTACCTATTTTTGAGAAATGTAAAGTTAAAAATGTAGAGTGAATATATTGATAGCGACTCCGAATAATCTTATGATTTTGATGGAGCAGATAGAACATTTGATTTCTGACCTCATGGTATTAGTAACTCAAAAGGGCCAAAAATGTCAGACAGTACTTTGTAATTCAAAAGTAGGGCATTTCTCAACGTGTTATACCCAGATGTCTGTTTGTATTTTGTCGGAGAGCCTTCAACATGTAACAACGCGAACATCCTCCTCCTGGGCTTGTATGTTGGGGGGGTGTTGTTGTTTTTTTTTATGTTTTTGTTTTGTTGTTTTTTTGTTATTTGTTTTTGGTTTTGGGTTTTGTTTGAGTAAAGAGAAGCACCTCGACACAATAATGATCATTCAGTGTTGGGAAAAAGTACGAACGACAGATAGAAAGAAGCGACAGAGAGGAAGTAATAATAATAATAATAGATGGATAGCATTTGTATAGCGCTGATCCCCGCTCAACAGCCAGCTCTTAGGGCTTGACAATCTATACTACGAGTATTACCCCAGCAGACCTGAGAGCATTCTGAAACAACCTCAACTTCCTGTAAAGAAGTAAAGAAGTAAGACCTAACAGTAGCGCCCTCCAACCACCCGCTTATTCTCCTTTAGTTGCTGAACCGTTTCTTGATATCATGAAAAAGTTGTAATTACATGTAATTATTTCCTCTTCTGAGAATGGGGCGGAGTTTCGGGGAAGAGATTCTTCCTGATAGGGGGCGGGGGAACAAGACAATAAACACTAAAGTGGGCGTGGCTAATTTCTTCTTATCTCGTCAAGAGAGTTGTGCGCGGTGCTCATATGAGACTCGTACATCAAATTGAAGATATGGCTGGAAAGATAAAACAATGAGGTCGTGTGGAGGAACAAATTTAGATCTACATACCTGGTGCTGTTGAAGGAAAACACAATCTGGGATCGCTTTAACTATTTCGCTACCTCATAATTATAAAGTTCTGTCTGACATTTTTGGCTGTTTTGAGTTACTAAGATCATGAGGTAGGAAACCAACTGTATGTTCTATCAACCCTATCAAAATTGTAAGATTATTCGGAGTCGTTATAAAAATATTCCAAAAAGTTGCATTCGAAAAAGCCTGACATGTCGTGAAATTCAAAATCTTTTACGTCAAATTTCTCAAAACTAGGTACTGGGCAGATAGATCTTTGTAATTCTGAGGTGCCGATTTACTTGTACAGTGTAGTATAGAGCAGTGGGGAGAGGGTGGTGGGGTGGAGTGGGAGCAGAGACACGACTAGAATACACGGAAGTCTACCATGGGTTTGTTTCCAGTGCGGAAGTGACGTATGCTAAGGCTGCCGTAACCGAAGGTCATCATATTATGGATCCAGAGTATATTGATTATATATCATGTATCTAACGCGTTGACCAGGCATATTTGTCACTCTTTCTGTATTTCTCTCTCCCTCTTTCTTTCTCTCTCTCTTTCTC